ACCCCTCGCTATTTTGAGGATTGTTGGGAAGGTAGATGATTTAATGGATTTGTTAAAGAGCGTTGCAATAATTGGTGACAATACTTGAGAAGCTTTTTTGTACATAAAAGCAGGCAAGTTGTTTATGTCTCCTGCCTTGTTTTTAAGGGTGTTTATGATGAGCATAACTTCAGTGGGGTTGGTTGGAGCTAGGAATAGCATATTTGGGTAGGTTCCTATGAGGTAGTCTGATGGACAGGCGTTTGTGCTTGGTATTTTGTTTGCTAGATTTTTTCCTATGGTGGAGAAGAAAACATTAAGTCTGTTTGCTGTTTTGGTTGGAGTGAGTAGGGGTTCATCTGATTTTGTTAGTTTAATTGCTTTGTTTCTGGATAACTTTTTTATTGCCAAGAATTTCAGATAGAGTTTTCCAGGTTTTTTTCATATCACCTTTGATGTTATGTAATCTATTTTCATAATACAATTTTTTTGACCTTCTTATCAGGCTGGTACGTGCTGACGAGTAATTTCTCGACTGTTCTCTAGTTATTTGACCCATTCTATACTGTTTTTCATATTTGTGCTTTGTGTTAATGGATTTGAGGATGCTTGGTGTTAGCCAGGGATTATTCTGTCTCTTTGCTGTGATCTGTTTAGTTTTTCTGGGGCAATGTCTGTTGTAGAGGCATTGGGCTTTTTTTAGAAAATTTATTTATACATTCTTCATATCTGTATATGTTTCAAGCTCATTTTGCCAATCGATGTTATTCGTAGCTGCTATAAAGTTGTTAACTGCTGTCTCGTTATGTAGTCTGAAGGTTACTTTAGTAATGTCTTGTGGTAGTATGCCCAGATTAGTTATGAGAAAGGTTGGGTAGTGGTCTGTAGTGTTGTCCGTGATTATGCCTGATTTTAAAGGGGATATGGTGTTTGTCCAGATGTGGTCTATTAAGGAGATGCTTGTCTCGGAGATTCTTGTAGGTTTAGATATTGCTGGTAGCAACAGGCAGTTACTCACTGTGTTTGTGAATTCGGTTACTTGTGGGTCCTGGTCGTGTAGTATGTTTATGTTGAAATCTCCTGTTAGTAGTAGGTGGTCTTTATTCATATGTGCATCAGTAATCATGTTTTCTAGTTTTTCACTAAAGTGATAAATGTTTGACTGTGGTACTCTGTAGATGTTTATAATTGTAAGGGGTTTTTACAGGTCTTTTGATTTAAATTTGGCTATGATATATTCTCCATGTTCATCCCTTGTGCAGGATTTATTGATACATTAGAGTTGATTTGAATAGTATATAGCTGTTCTTCCCCCTTGCTGGTCTGTTCTACAGTTGTGTATGGCCACGTAGCCAGGGATGGTATATAGAAATCTGTAATATCAGGCTTAAGCTAGGTTTCTGTGAGTGTGATGACTGATATATTGGAATTAAGAGAACTGAGTAATGCTGTGAGGTCATCATAATGTTTGCTTAAGGATCTGACATTGTAGTTAAAGATGGTTATGTTATTGTTTAGCACTGAGTAATGTCTTTGCTTGGTCTGCTGTGTAGTAATTACAGTTACTGGTTGATTCATGTAATTCATTTTGTAAAAAGTTTACATCAGGATCTATGCCTGTAATCATAGGATGAGAGTAATTTTACATACTAGATTTTCTGAGTAAAATGATATAAGATTTATACTGAATCTACAACTAGACTTATGATTAAGACACCGTGTAATGGGTTTCATATATAATTTTGAGGAAAATATCATAGATGGATTAATGAAAATGCCTATATTGATGTAAAATAAGACATTTAGTGTGCCCAAGAGTGATTATTATTACGTAGTATTGGTGTCATGAGTAGAGAGAGACTTAGCGATTTAAAATATGTACCTGCACACCAGCACAGTGTGTAAGTATATTTAGGTACAGGTACACTTAAGTATAATTATCAGAGTACATATAAAATATGCAGTAACTTTAAAACACTTGAAATTTTGGAAAGTTTCCTGACATAATAGATGAGGTCACGGAAAATGTAAGCAAACTGAGTGGGGGGCGCCATATTTGAAAGACCGCTTGCCATATAGCAAATTCTGGTCATAATTTGACATCGCCGTATTAGCGGAATGGCATAAGGCAAAACGCCATAAGGCGAAACGCCATAAAGTGGGGCCTTATTGTACTGAAATAGTACTCAAATAGTCACAAACACACTGACACACTGCCTTGGTCATTTACTATTGTCTAGAAATATATACAAGGTATTTACAGGTCCCAGCAATGTTTTAGACACACTGGAGTATATGTGAAACTCCTTGAAGCATGGTGTATTATTACTAAGACAAGTGTCACTCCACTGCTGACAGTGCCGCAGTGGAGTGACACTTGATGATCATGCAGTGCTCCAGCGAACCCTGGCTTTATCTGTTTTCATTGTTACACACAAACGTGTGTGTGTGTCTGTCTTTCTGTCTGTCTGTATCTGTCTGTCTAGCTCTGCTTTTGTCTGTCTAGCTCTGCTTATCTGTCTTTCTGTCTGCCTGTGAATCTCTGTCTTTCTGTCTGCCTGTGTGTCTGTCTTACTGTCTGCCTGTGTGTGCCTGTCTTTCTGTATGCCTGTGTGTGTCTGGTTTTCTGTCTGCCTGTGTCTGTCTATCTTTACATTTGCTTGTCTCTGTGTCTCAGAGAGCGGCTCATAAACCAACAGGTATTACACATGATGCAGAGTCGTCACGTCTGATTCCTAATCAAGTGAAATGGGAATGACTTGCCAGTCATTCTTATTATGTCTTATATCTTCAAGCACTATATAGCACATTGCCTGAACTTTTTTAGGTTATCCTAGGTAATATTACACTATGTATAATAACAGTACTTATGTGTACCTGTGAGAGATACACTGAGACAGAAATACACACAGACAGACAAAGCCAGCCAGCCAGCCAGGACAGAAAGAGACACAGGACAAAGTCAGTTAGCCAGAACAGAACAGACACAGACAGAGCCAGCCAGCAGGACAGAAATAGACACAGATAAAGCCAGCCAGCCCGGACAGAAACAGACACAGATAAAGCCAGCCAGCCAGGAGAGAAACAGACAAAGTCAGCCAGCCTGGACAGAAACAGACACAGACAGACAAAGCCCAGCCAGCCAGCCAGCCAGCCAGCCAGCCAGCCAGCCAGCCAGGGCAGAAACAGACACAGACAAACAGACAAAGCCAGCCAGCCAGGACAGAAATAGACACAGCCAGCTAGCCAGCCACAGCCAGCCAGCCACAGCCAGCCAGCCAGCCAGCCAGCCACAGCCAGCCAGCCACAGCCAGCCAGCCAGCCAGCCACAGCTGGCCAGCCACAGCCAGCCAGCCACAGCCGGCCAGCCACAGCCGGCCAGCCACAGCCAGCCAGCCAGCCAGCCAGCCAGCCAGCCAAATACATATTATACACGTTACAGAATCGTTTCTCTTTACTTTGGGCCTAGGTTATAGGACATTCTGGGAGGTTGACACAGCCAGCTAGCTGAATATGTATTACACGTTCCAGACTCGTTTCTCTTTACTTTGAGCATACATTATAGGACATTCTGGCAGGATAACACTACCAGTGGTATAAAAAATGACAGGATGTTAAACAAATGTTGCTCGTGGGTTATTATGGAGGTTTTTGATATTTCCTCGACCACTCTGGCCACATCCATCTCAAAACCATTAAACTCAGGGCCAACATCACTATCCTCTTAAAAGGGGAGTGTTAAAACAACATGACATCAGTGAATCCCTACTGTTTGCCAAGTTATTTGCTCTAGCTGACACTCAATTGAACTGGTGCTCCCACAAGGCACTAAGTGGTCCAGATTTTTTTAATACTGCACACACCGAGTGTTAAGACCCATTCTGTAATGACCAGGTATCTCAGGCCAATCGTGCCAAATTTGCAGGCAGGAAAAATAAAGCGCTGATCTACATTTGGAGCACTAGTGGTACTAATGTAGATCTATGTTTGGACAGTTTAAGGGTTAAAAGTTACTAAAAATATTCCCACCATCTATGCAATACCTCCAGCTCCCCATCTACTAACTCCCCTACTCTGTTTTTAGCTGACAAATCCATTCGTTCTCTAGGTTTTCTTAACTTGTTTATCTCACTCAAAAATTTTTTCTTATTCTAAGCAAAAATTTCTTGACAGTAGACCTCCCACTCTATCATATGCTCTCCTTTTCCACTCTCTTCACCTTTCTTTTACTATCTAAATACTCTGCCCTTCTTCTATCACTTCTGCTTTGTAAAACCTGTCATAACCTACCTCTTTCTCTTTTATCCCATCCTTTAACTCATCATTCCACCAATAACTCCTCTTTCCTCCTGCATGCACCCTCCTACAGCCACAAACTTCTGCCCCACATTGTAATACTGCATTTTTAAAACTATCAGATCCCTCTTCAACCCCTCCCCCCTACTACCCATACTTGCACTAGTCTACCTTTCTGCCAATAATTGCTTATATCTCACCTTAACTTCCTCTTCCCTTAGTTTATACACTTTCACCTCTCTCTTACTTATTGTTGCCATTTTCCTTTTGTCCTATCTACCTCTTACTCTAACTGTAGCTACAACTAGATAATGATTCGATATATCCGTTGCCCCTCTATAAACATGTATATTCTGAAGCCTACCCATCAACCTTTTATCCATCAGTACATACAACCTTTTATCCATCAGTACATAATCTAGCAAACTACTTCATTACATGCTATATCATATCTTGTATACTTATTTATCCTCTTTTATTATTGTATGTAATCTGTGCAAATCTTTTCTCTTCTGCTGAAAAGTTATCAGGTTCAAAACAAATTATTCAACAATATAAAGAAATAAGGGAGGAAGGGGCTAGTGACTCCTTCTCTTGTATACACTACATTACTAAAGTTAAAAAGAGAAACTTTTGTTTTTCTTTTGGGCCACCCTGTCACGGTGGGATACAACTGGTTTGTTGAAAGAATATAAAAAAAAATGTTAAATAAAATATTAAATCACCTGAAGATGCTGTTTGCCATACAGATGTTCTCTCTTGTTGTGAAGTGAAGTAAACAGCTGGTCACAGATGCGACAATAGAGTTCCTCACTGTCATCATCCTAAAATGAAAATGTTTTAATGAATTATGCAATTACATTTATTTAACAATGCCCAATTAAACAATAAAAAAAATGCTTAATAAACTTTCATGGTAACATCTAAAAACAATTAAAAACAAACATACAAGCAATTTATCTGCACTAAATCTGGTACACTTCGAATATTATAGCTTGAGATGCATTTCAATGTAGTTAGTACAGTACGTAGTATTCACTGCATTTCATGCAGAATTAGGATACAGAAGAATGAATTAACATTTATAAACAGTAAAAGGAACCTAAAACATTAAAACTAATCCGAATAAATAAATTAACGTATGTATAGTATATCCTAGGTAGTAGGTTGGTAGACAGCAACCACCCAGGGAGGTGCTACCATCTTGCCAAGTGAGTGTAAAACTGAAGCCTGTAATTGTTTTACATGATGGTAGGATTGCTAGTGTCTTTTTTTTCTGTCTCATACACATGCAAGATTTCAGGTACGTCTTGCTACTTCTACTTACACTTAGGTCACACTACACATACATGTACAAGCATATATATATATATACACACCCCTTTGGGTTTTCTTCTATTTTCTTTCTAGTTCTTGTTCTTGTTTATATCCTCTTACCTCCATGGAGAAGTGGAACAGAATTCTTCCTCCGTAAGCCATGCGTGTTGTAAGAGGCAACTAAAATGCCGGGAGCAAGGGGCTAGTAACCCCTTCTCCTGTATATGTATATTACTAAATGTAAAAAATGAAACTTTTGTTTTTCCTTTTGGGCCACCCCGCCTCGGTAGGATACGGGCGGTGTGTTGAAAGAAAGAAGAAAGATGTATAGTATATCCTAGGTAGTAGGTTGGTAGACAGCAACCACCCAGGGAGGTGCTACCGTCTTGCCAAGTGAGTGTAAAACTGAAGCCTGTAATTGTTTTACATGATGGTAGGATTGCTGGTGTCTTTTTTTTTCTGTCTCATACACATGAAAGATTTCAAGTACATCTTGATACTTCTACTTACACTTAGGTCACACTACACATACATGTACAAGCACATATACACACCCCTCTGGGCTTTCTTCTATTTTCTTTCTAGTTCTTGGTTATTTCCTCTTACCTCCATGGGGAAGTGGAACAGAATTCTTTCTCCGTAAGCCATGCGTGTTGTAAGAGGTGACTAAAATGCCGGGAGCAAGGGGCTAGTAACCCCTTCTCCTGTATAAATCGCTAAATTTAAAATGAGAAACTTTTGTTTTTCTTTTTGGGCCACCTGCCTCGGTGGGATACGGTCGGTTTGATGAAAAAACGGTGATTATGTGTGAGTGAGGTGAAAGAGTTGAATGATGATTAAAGTATTTTCTTTTTGGGGATTTTCTTTCTTTTTGGGTCACCCTGCCTCGGTGGGAGACGGCCGACTTGTTCAAAAAAAAAAAAAGTACAGGTACCATCCGACTTACGACTAAGCTTAGTTCCAACCAACCGGTCTTAAGTCGAAATAGACGCAAGTCGAACCTTACTATTGAATATCAACGTCACACTTTTGTAACGATTTTATTTTATTGTTTTATTTTGGTATTTAATTTTTTACTTTACTTTTTATGTTGTTAGTACAGTGGACTCTCGACTAACAATATTAATTGGTACCCGAGAACGAATATCGTTAGTCGAGTTTTTGTAAGCATTAGTCGAGGCAAAATGTTAGCGTTAAAATGTATCGCTAGTCGGATTTAACGTTATACGATGCCATCGTTGGTCAAGGGTCCACTGTACTGTATTTTATACCATAAGGTTTAGGATAAACACTGTGTACAACACAAACAGTTGTTTATTTCCCAGAAATCTAGCATAAAAAACATGGTCGTAAGTCGAGTGGTCGTATGTCGAGCAGGTCGTAAGTCGGATGGTAGGTGTATATACACACACCTCTCTGAGTTTTCTTCTATTTTCTTACTAGCTCTTGTCCTTGTTTATTTCCTCTTATCTCCATGGGGAAGTGGAACAGAATTCTTCCTCTGTAAGCCATGCGTGTCGTAGGAGGTGACTAAAATGCTGGGAGCAAGGGTCTAGTAACCCCTTCTCCCGTATACATTACTAAAGTTAAAATGAGGAACTCTTGTTTTTCTTTTTGGGCCACCCTGCCTCGGTGGGATATGGCCAGTTTGTTGAAAGAAGAAGAATGTATAGTATAAAGACATTTGTAATAATAATCACATAAAAATGACAAAAATGCAACAAAACAGTAAGTGCAATAAATATTAAGATATGTAGATAAAATTATGAAGTTTTTTGTGGGGAAGAGAATTTGTATAAATACATTACAGGTCAGCCATCACTAATCAGACAATCACTAATCTGGTTCCATCACTAATCCAGCACTAATTTCAGCTAGCATAATTTTGAATTTTCCAGGTCGTTTCACCAGCCTGCTGCTTCTTGCTACATAAACAAAGGCAAGCCATTCCAATTTGTTTTTCTCCATTTATTATTATAGCCTGCTCACTTTAGCCTCAGCCATAGTTCCAGTGAATAAAGGAAATGCTTCTCATTGTGTAGAGCGCAAACACCATACACAGTCCATGAAAGATAAGGTTGAACTTCTGAAAAAACTGGACAGCGATGTGTCTGTAAGTAGCTTGTGTGAATTATACAGCACTGGTTCTTCCACAGTTTATGACACAAAGAAACAAAACAAAAAATTACTTGATTTCTTTGCTAACACTGATTCAAAGAAACAGATGTGTAAAAGGAAACAATGAAGGAAGGAAAAAGTTCAGAACTAGATCAAGTTCTGATGAAGTGGTTTAGGCTACGTGTAAGTGAAGAATTTTTTTTTTTTTTTTTTAACAAGTCGGCCGTCTCCCACTGAGGCAGGGTGACCCAAAAAGAAAGAAAATCCCCAAAAAGAAAATACTTTCATTATCATTCAACACTTTCACCTCACTCACACATAATCACTGTTTTTGCAGAGGTGCTCAGAACACAACAGTTTAGAAGTACAGTGGACCCCTGGTTAACAATATTTTTTCATTCCAGAAGTATGTTCAGGTGCCAGTACTGACCGAATTTGTTCCCATAAGGAATATTGTGAAGTAGATTAGCCCATTTCAGACCCCCAAACATACACGTACAAACGCACTTACATAAATACACTTACATAACTGGTCGCATTGGGAGGTGATCGTTAAGCGGGGGTCCACTGTATATACGTATAAAGATACACAACATATCCCTCCAAACTGCCAATATCCCAAACACCTCCTTTAAAGTGCAGGCATTGTACTTCCCATTTCCAGGACTCAAGTCCGGCTATATAAAATAACCGTTTCCCTGAATCCCTTCACTAAATATTACCCTGCTCACAGTCCAACAGCTCGTCAGGTCCCAAATACCATTCGTCTCCATTCACTCCTATCGAACACGCTCATGCACGCTTGCTGGAAGTCCAAGCCCCTCACCCCTCGCCCCTTTTCCTGTAATAATTACTAAAAAGAATAAGAAGTAAGTGAAGATGTTGAATTGTAAATTTCAGCTCTTCACTTTGGAAGAGGCAGTGATGAACTTTCTTGTGTAAGTCAAACTGGTTAACTTTATTAACCCTTTCATCATCAGTCCCATTGTATCACAGCTTTGAAGCCACTGTCGGTCCCGTAGTATGACGCCATAAGCTCAGCTCACTCAGATAAGCTGTGACTGGTAAATTTGGGCCTAGATATCAGAGAATAGGCCAGTGTGGTAAGTGTGCACTATATAAAAATAATCTTGCAGCATGCAGTGCATAACGAGAAAAAAACTGCAACTGTGTTTTTGGCTTAAAACAGCAACTTTGCAATGTATTTTAGTATGGTTTTTCAGTTTCAATTGATTGAATGGAAGATATATTACAGAAATAAAGATGATTCTGATTGGTTTCAGGACGAAAAGTACCTTGAAATTGAGCTGAAAGTAGCGGAAATGTTTGACTTTTGCCAATGTTCAAGATTAAACAAATCATGTCTCATGTCCAATACGTGTCCAACTGGCCATTTTAATATGTGGTCATGAATAGGTTGACATTATATATACAATTACAGTGGACCCTTGGTTTTCATGAGTCTTGGTTATCATGAATTTTGGTCAACGTTAACTTGTTTCAGCTAAATATAGCCTTGGTTTTCGTGATTTTCCTTGGATTTCAGAGGTTGTACGGTACATGTACAGTAATATGAAGCATTTCATAATAATACATTGTTTTCTGCACTTGCTTATCGTGTGTGACTGCTAAATAAGCCACCATGGGCCCAAAGAAAGCTGCTAGTGTCAGCCCTTTGGTAAAGGGCTGAGAGAGAAGATTGTGCCTTCTTCAGTGGTACAGTGATTCTACAATATATACAATACTAAAGCAGCAGGAGTCGATAAAGGCTATAGCACCAGCCAGCGATAAAGTGTAGCATTAACAGTGTAAAAAGTAAGTTAAGAGATTATGTGATAGAAAAAGGACACGAAACTAACTTATCCAATGTTGTTGGAGGTACATAGGGCCACTGACAACACCACCGCCTCTGCTGCTGCCTCCACCACCACTAATATGTATGGCATATGCTGTCAGTGGCCCTTATAAACCCAGCAACAACACCACCACCACTTACTCCTCACATACATAATGACATATTATTGCCCACTTATCCTCCATTTCACTTTACATGATATCGAGGCACAATAAGTTGATGAATTTCCAACTACTTTTCATAGCGAGTCAAAAAATCACAAGTAAAAATTTTCAGCCTTTAATATCATATTGTTCCTTAGAACATATTAATAATAAAAGATTAGCTTTTCTCCCATATCTTACAAGTGAGCAATTATTTACAGAGAACTAGAACTTAAGAACGTAAGAAAGAAGGAACACTGCACAGGCCTACTGACCCATGCGGAGCAGGTCCATGTCCCCCCCCCCCCCGGATTAGACCAATGACCCACCCCCTGGATTATCCCAATGACCCACCCAGTCTGGTCATCCCCACTCAAGGATGGAGCACTGT